CTGTTGCATGTATTGAAGCTTAAGCGAGAAAACAATCTCATGGGCAGAGGATATGTTTCTCTTAGCTGTGTGGGTAGCTGAAGAAATCAAATATGGTCCAGTCAGGAAAAAAGAGGGACGTTAATAGAGGGAATTGGTTGTACACATGATGGAAGACCTAGGAATCCAAATAGGGAGTGATGAGGCCATTCAGATTAGTAAGAGCAGGAAGCCCCCACCACCTCTAGGCCAGAGGGCCAGTGGGAAGAGGTGATGTGATCAGAGTCCTGAAGTTGGGTCTGTCTGATGGAAAGTAGAGCCATGGTAAGGGCTGTTCAGTGTTGGGGTGCTGGAGGGGAGGGATGGGGACATGGACCTCAAAAGAGTGCAGCTACCGCCAGAGATGCTGCTGGAAGTAGAGATATTTGGCGGTGGAGCATGGGAATCATATAATAGAGTAGAGCGGCTGAAGGGGGTTGGGGAATGGATCTGAGATCAAACGGGCAAATGGTTGGCGGTCCACATCTTATGCTTCAGCGTTATCACCCTTATACTCGTATGTAACTCCCATACGGCAGTACCTTCCAGGCTGCAACTCAAATACCCTCTATACAAAGGTGCTCCCACACTCACCAAAATGGGCTTATTGGTCATTGCGTCCATCTCACAAATGGTGCATATTGTCACTACTGGGTCTTTATGTTGGGTGCCTCATGAATTTAATTGAAAAGTTATTACTACCAACATTTTTTTGTATGATGCCAGAGGGGAGGGGCAAAGAAAAAAACCACTAATATATATATACATGTCTTTTGAGCACTTGAAATGTGACTAGTCTGAATTAAGATGTGCTGTAAATGTAAAACACTAGATTTCAGAAACTTGGTACAAAAAATGCAAAGCATGTCACTAATCATTTTTCATAGGATTACATGTGGAAATAATGGTAACCTTGGATACATTGGGTTAAGTAAAAGATTAAAATTAATTTCATGTATTTATTTTTACTTTTTAAAATACTGGTACTAGAAAATTTAAAGTTACGTACGAGACTTGCCTTATGTTTCTATTGGACAGCGCTGCTTTAGAAGGCTGCCCATGTCTTTAATTCCTATGTACGCCATAATCAGATACCACCACAAATACTGGGGGTCAGACTGCTATGATTACTACTGTAATCCTGGTACCTACCGAGTACTGTGCTGGTTAATTGCTACCACTGGGACTTTGCCACTCTGGAAGTCCATTATTTCCATCGAAACTGGGGAGTTCATTTCAGTTGTGATATATTCCACCATTATCTCCACCATCTCCTGTAATCTCTGGCACATAGAGATTAGCTACCAGAGTTTTCTAAGGGTGCTTACGTTTTCCACTCCAGTGTATTTTATAGCATTTAATTAGGAAAAGAATATCCTTTGCACTCTTGAAGAGGATGTAGTCGGGGAAAGGGGAGGTTTTGGTTTGCTCATGATGAAATCACACCCATCTCCTTAAATCTCCATATTATGTCAGGAAAGTACTGGCATTTTGACTTTATTAAGTGATTGTAGGCTGGTGTTAAGTTCAGCTTAACAGTCACCCATCCTAGTAAACTGTTGGAACTAGCTTATTAAGTCCAAATCAATCCTATGTATGTTCTGCACATTCCTACTAATACAAGATTAGCAAGATTTTGCATTTGTTTTGCTACATAAGCTATTTTTCCTGGAGCAGGCTGCGTATTTCTCCTCCTTTGGCACACTAACATCTGGGTCAATCTATGGTGACAAAGAGTGGTGGATGTGGGTCTTCGCAAATCCTCTTGCAAGGCAACTGTTTCAGGCGCACTCATTAGTAAGTCTTTAAGCAAGAGGCTTAATAATAATAAGCAAGGCTAATTATCCCAGGGAGGAGAAGCTGCTTTTGCTGGTAAGGGATGTGTAGGGGGATTTGGAAGTTTATAATTTTCAGGTTTGTCTAATTCCAGAAGTCCTCATCCTATCTCCTACCTTCCTACTTAATGCCCAACTGATACATACTATCTTAACATTAGAAACTTGGTGAAACTCTTCATTCAACCTGTAGTGTAATTCTGCATTCCCCATAATTAGATTTTGTGTGTGGTCCTTAACCTTGTCTGCCAGGGGGTGACAAGATATAAGAGATTCTTTTAAAGTCAACATAGAAACTCTGACTTTCTGACTGTTTGAGCTGAGCTTCTAAAGCTCTGAGATTATCATTTTGTTTTTATCTAAGTTTTCTAACATAGTCACATTTAGCCTTCCCGCTCTACAGGTCTTGAAATAAACAGTGCTGCCCTAATGGTTATGTGCAGTTGCTACCTCATTTCTCCAAAGCTTGTCCTTAAATGACATTTTATTCTAAACTGCACGTGATAATTTAACAAATTGTGATCCCACTGTATGCCATGGGTCACTGCAAAAGTATCCCATTTCTGCCTGCAGAGAGGTCTTCACTGATTGATAAGAGGGACTGTCCAGAAGGATTTGAAGCAACAGGGGAGACAGAGAAGCTGCTGGAGGTAGATCCTGAGCTAGATCTAGAACCACCCTGGCTTCACTACTTCTGCCCTTATAAATGTATCACAGGTGCTTCCTATTGGCCAAACGTGAGAGGCCAGTTGTCAAGGGAGCCTGGGAAATGTAGTTCATACAATACAGAGCAGAGCTGTAGAAGAACAGGGAGGGGATCTGAGGGCAAACTGGTGAATGACTGGCACGACTGGAAATGCCCAAATATTAACAACTTTATTCTCCTTGGGCATTAGTGGGGGAGACAGTGGGCAGGGCGGGATGGAGTGATTCTGAAACAAAGTGAGTTATCTTGAATATGTAATTAAGATTCTGTGGTTTTATTCTTCACTATTAAAGGATATTTGTCAATTCTTGTTTTGTAAGTGTGTTTTGAAGACATTTACTTTTCTAAAATTTCTTAAAGACAAAGCATAAGAGACTCTTAAAAAATGAGAACAAACTGAGGGCTGATGGGGGGTGGGAGGGAGGGGAGGGTGGGTGATGGGTATTGAGGAGGGCACCTGTTGGGATGAGCACTGGGTGTTGTATGGAAACCAATTTGACAATAAGTTTCATATATTAAAAAAAATAAAATTTCTTAAAGATAAAATTAGTACTTTTTATTCTTTATATGTGGAAAAAGGTGTAACTCTTGCTGTACTCTACGTAATAACAGCTACTTGTGGTAAATTCTGAATTCTGGAATTCTTTTGTCTTTTCTTATCTGATAATGGGACCGTCTTTTTCTAGCCTGGTATAGTAGCTCAATGCTTTCCTACACGATGCCTTTCTAGCATTGTCTCTCATCCACCATCTCTTTCTCAACTGTCAGCAATAAATAATTATGTTTTCCTTGAACTATCATAACATTTTTACCTCTTTTAGAAAACCTATTCCACATGCCTTTCTATAGCATTTCATTATTTGAGATCAGGGACTCCATAATGTTTTTATATATTTCTCTGTACTTGACAAATAGGAAGTGTTTTTTTTTTTTTTTTTTAATTTTTTTTTTTTCAACGTTTATTTATTTTTGGGACAGAGAGAGACAGAGCATGAACGGGGGAGGGGCAGAGAGAGAGGGAGACACAGAACCGGAAACAGGCTCCAGGCTCTGAGCCATCAGCCCAGAGCCCGACGCGGGGCTCGAACTCACGGACCGCGAGATCGTGACCTGGCCGAAGTCGGACGCTTAACCGACTGCGCCACCCAGGCGCCCCTTGTTTTTTTTTTTTAATTTTAATGGTTATTTATTATTGAGAGACAGAGAGAGACAAAGCACGAGGGACAGAGAGGGGGAGACACAGAATCCAAAGCAGGCTTCAGTCTCCGAGCTGTCAGCACAGAGCCCGATGCGGGCTTGAACTCACAAACCGAGAGATTGTGGCCTGAGCTGAAGTCGGACGCTCAACTGACTGAGCCACCTAGACTCCCCGACACATAGGAAGTGTTTAATGTTATTTAATGAATTATTGATTGGATTATAGAATTTTAGAGTGGGAATGTACTTTATAAATCATTTAGTTCTGACTCTCTGACCTATCTTCTGTCATACTACTCATGGAAGTGTATTAGATAAATTAGATCTAGTTATTAAATATCTAGTTGTCTAGATATTAGATAAGCTAGATATTATTTCATTAAAATCCCTGAAAAATTGGCACTTTTAATACTTTATGCTCCATCAGTAATGTCATAATCAAGAGAAATAAAATAGACAGTGTTTATTAAAGTATACTTTGATGCAATTTTCTTCTTAAAAAAAATTCGTTTATTTATTTTGAGAGAGAGTGTGAGTGGGGGAAGAGTAGAGAGATGGAGAGAGAGAAAGAGAGAGAGAGAATCCCAAGCAGGCTCTGTGCTGTGAGCTCGGATCCCGACTCGGGGCATGATTTCACGAACCGTGGGGATCATGCCCTGAGCTGAAATCAAGAATTGGGCACTTAACCGACTGAGCCACCCAGGTGCCCTGATGTAATTTGCTTCTTGATTTCATATAAAGAATAGGAAGAAGAGAGGGGAGAATGAATTTTGAAGTACTTAACTATGTTCATGCATTTTTTCACTCCTTGGTCATGACTATTTCTGATGAAAACTTGCAATTATTCAGGGGTGCCTGGCTGGCTCGGTGTCTCGGGGTTGTGAGTTCATGCCCCCAAATTGGGCATAGAGCCTACTTAAAAAACAAACAAACCAAACAACAACAACAAAAAAAACCCAAAAAACCTTGTGATTTCTCCTTATTTTTGTAAGATCATATAAGAATTTTTTGCTTTTTATTTTTTTCTCTAGCGGATTCTCTAGAATTAGAAAACTAATGAGTGTCATTTGGTGAGGCTAGTGCTTCTTTTCCAGTCTTCTAGAAAAGTATAAATTGATAAATTCTTGTCTTATAAATATTATAGAAACAAATTCCTCTAAGACATTTAAATGTTTGCGTGCACGATCTCATCATCTTGGTGACATATTTTAATATTGGTTCATGATCTCGAAATCTGTTGTTAGCTGGCAAGCTATGAGAGCCAGATTGCCAAGCTGCGATCCGAGGTTGAAAAAGGAGAGGCATTGCGACAAAGTCTGGAGTATGACCTGGCTGTTGCTAGAAAGGAAGCTGGTCTCGGAAGACGGGCTGCTGAAGAAAGGTTAGCTGAGGCACATAGGATCCAAGAAAAGCTCTGTGGTAAGACTAGTTTTATTTTTCCCCATGCTGAGGGTTTTGCCCTTATTGTATATCACTGCTCCCTGTTGGGTGTGTTTACCATCTAGGGTCAGAGGTGGGGTTTTGGATTTTTGGCCTTTGATGGACAGACTTCGCTGCATGGGTATAAAGCCTTCTACAGTATGTGAACATTCATCTACTTTGCATTGATTTTTTTTTTTTTATGTTGTATATGTATGGAAAAAGGGATTCAGAATTCTTTTCATTACTTTGTAGAGCAGTTGTTCCATGAATAGTCAATCAGCAGAATCACATAGAGCTTAAAAAAAAAATTCATAGGCCTCCTATCGCATGTAGTCTGAAAGAGAATTTCTAGCTCAAGAGAATCTATATGTCCAAGAAGCACTAAAGAAGAAAAAGGCAGTGGATTTAATCCTCAAACACTGTTATATAGCATATGAACACTTAAAAATCTTTGAAGTATAATATATGTAAAGAAATGTGCCTAGTATAAGTGTATAACTCAGAAGAAGCACCCATACCATGAAATGGGAAATTACCTGCAGTCCTTCCACATGGATAACTACTACCCCCCTTTTTTTTTTAAGTTTATTTATTTATTTTGAGAGAGAGAGAGATAGAGCACAAGCAGGGGAGGGGCAGAGAGAAGGAGAGACAGAATCCCAAGCAAGCTTTGGTCCATCAGTACAGAGCCCATGTGGGCCTTGAACTCACAAACTGTAAGGTCATGACCTGAGCCGAGATCAACTGTCTGATACTGAACCGACTGAGCCGCCCAGGTGCCCTTACTACCCTGATTTTTAATAGCAAGGATAAATTGTGCCTGTTTTTTGTACTTTATATTAAATGGAATCATATAATATGTACTCTTTTATATCTGGCTTCTTTCCTTCAACATTGTGTGTGAGTTTATTCATATTGTTGTATGAACTTTGTATTGATGCTTAATATTATATTGTATGACATACCACATTATATTTATCCATTTCTGCTAACGGGCACTTGAGTAATGTCCGGTTTTTGGTTATCAAGAATAATGTTGCTATGAACATTCCTTTTTTTTTTTTTAAAGATTTTATTAATTAATCTCTACACCCAAAGTGGGGCTCGAACTCACAAGAGTCGCATGCTCTACTGACTGAGCCAGCTAGGTGCCCCAGGGTTGCTGTGAAAGTTCTTGTACGTAGCAGGTCTTAATTAAAAGAATATTGAGCATGAATTCAGAAGATTTAGGTTTAGGTCTTGGTTTTACCACTTACTTACTGATATTTGAACTTAGGTTTTTTTTTTTTTTTTTT